GGCCTAATCGGCCTTTCTTACAAATTCGTCATCATCATCTAAGCTTTACCCCAGCTATATGAGATCGGCTACATAAACAACTCAGGATCCATGACCATATGAGTTTGGCAAAAATTTTAATGCCAACGGCCGACCTGACACAACCCTCCTCCTTTATCTAGGCCTGGAACTAACATTCTCAGAAAACTTGACAAGGTCACACTGCAAGAGTTGAGTGCCTACTTCCTAAATCTACTAATTCTATGGACGATGAACTTACCAAAAGTTGTTTTGCTAGGACAGATGTGTTGGGAAGTCCAGGATCAAGGTCGAATTGGTCAGTACCTTTCCATATTACAGCCCAATCCACCCCCTCTTTTTTTTCTTTTTGTTAGATTGGAAGACCCCCTCCTTTCCATATAGCCAGAAATATTCCCATTCAACAAACACACATTCTGCTGCCTCCCCTTTAACAACATCTATTCCACTTCATTCACATAAGATTTCTGCTCCATAGCCTCCTCTCCCCTTCTATTTGAACATTTAAGTTAATAAATATGGACAAGGAAACTTCTCTCCATTCAGTCGATAGAAATGAACATTGTTCATGTCCCAGCAACTACCACTGAAAGTGTAGTTAACTAGTTACACTATAATGAACTTCATTTTACGAGAATGGTGAACCAAGCCTGTCTGCTAAATGATCAACCGCTATAGATACTATATAGCTGTTGACCAATTTCACGTGGAAACCTCTCAAAGAAAAACTTAAGTAGCAAAAATGTTCTTCCTACGCAGAAATCAAAACAAGAATCGTGCAACTTAAGGCTTTCATAGCCTGGTGCTATACGAATCAAACACCGAATCCATGATATTCATCCAATTGCGGATCAGAAGGAAATTGAGAAAACAAGTCAATAATAAAGGTTCAGAAACGTATCTGTGACTACAGATGAGTTCGAGAGAAGCACCGGATAGCCCATCCGTGACACCACCACGCTTGGATTCTGTGGATGGTAGAGAAGATCGGTTATCTTCTTCCCGTACTCTGGCGATTTAAACATCGAGATTTCTGGGGCGGCATCAGCAGTCGAATTAGTGATGAATCCAGCCATGCTGTTTCTGATTCCGGCTGCCCAGTGAATCATTTTCAGCGCACGGTGGCTAATCTTTTCTGCCAACTCAAGTGTTTTCGAAGAGCTTGAGAAGGATAAGAACAGAGGAGAGGGAGAGAAGTTGCAATTTGAAGCCGAAGATAGTGGCGAATTGTTAGCCTGGCAGATAAATTGGCGGGAGTAGAGTAGTTGAGTTCAATTACGAAAGGGCGGAGAGCCTGGATCGATCTGGATCTTTCGGTTTACCCAATTAGCGGGAATAATTGCTGGCTGCATTGAATCCGGATCTTAGATTTATATTTGGGCTAAAAGACTTACGGCCTGTTCGTTTGTTAACTTTTCTTTTCTCTTAAATGAAGAAAATGTTGTTTTGAAAATTATCAAATATCTATTTCTAAATTTTAAAAATTATTAAATATTTATTTTGACTTTATATATACGAGTTTTTGTTTATATTTTTGGAGTATTATTGAAAAATAAAAAATTCTATGGTTGTACTTTAAAAGATAAGAGATAAGAGGAAACAAACAGCCATTAAAATATTCTTCTTAAGAGATAAGAGTTAAGAAGAAACGAAAAATGCACATATGCCCTTTGAGTGTCATTTAATTTTGTTTATCTATCATCTAAACGTTGACAAAAAATTAATAGTCCCAAATCCTTGCCTCTTCCATTCAAGAAAGTTGGGGTCACATTTAAGTGGGCATTCTGGTGATCCCAACCTTCTTGAATAGAAGAGACAATGATTTGGGACTGATAATTTTTTGTTAATGTTTGGATGGTTGATAAGGAAAATTAGATGACACTTGAAAGCTGCTAATTTTTTGTCATTGTTTGGATGGTTGATAAGGAAAATTAGATGACACTTGAAAGGCATTTGTGTCTTTTTCAAATGCCACTTAACGGCTGGTTAATAGTAAGTTAACATTAGGTATTGGATTGTCACGCTTTGAAAGTTCGAGTACTAAATTATCGCATTTTAAAGTTTGGGGGACCAAAGTGGCACTAGGTCCAAAGTACAGGATAGTAATTGAGAATTTTCCCTTAATTTTATTAGTGATAAACTCTGTTTTTCTCATGAGCCAATATGTAGGAAAAAAAAACATATATATCAGCTTCAATTACATAAGATTCTATAATTATGGTTTGAAATAATGGTTTGTCATGATGTCTATGTGAAACAAGATAAAACCATAAACATTGTTAATCCACTTCCTGATCGATGAGTTATCAAGAAGTACCGGATTTTGCTAATCCACTTCCTAATCGATGAGTTATCAAGAAGTATTGGATTCACTTTCTCTCCAGTTTTAAAAGTCTGTTGGGTTTTCATTGGATGATTTGAGAGCTTCTTCCATTAAACAAATGAGTAGGCATTCAAACATGGGAAGTTGAAAATCAAGACTACTCTTGTATTGTTTGTAATTAATTAAAAATTGCAACTTTGTTTCTTTTTGGGAGAGGTGCCTTCAAAATGAATGTCTTTTGAAAATTAAGCAGGATTTACATAAAATGATAGATAGCTTGTAAGGGAGAACAAAATATTAGAGGGGAAAAAGGATAGATGTCTTTTGAAAATTGCAACTTTATTTCTTTATGTGGTTTTATTTGAAAATTTAAAGAGCAATGAAGGGTAAAAATGTCTTTTAATGGATTATGTCAAATATAAGAGCATATTCTTCTAATAGTAGAGGTTTATGTCCTACAAAATATTAGAGGGGAGGTACAAGTATTTGTCACATACCTCAAGGGATGTTTAAGTCTTTTACCCAGAGTAAAAGACTTAAATATACCTGAATTTTCTTAAATTGACTTAAACATATTCTAAATTAAAAAAAAATATATTTAAATATACATTGTGACTCTTTTATCATTTATTTTCTTTCAAATTTTCAAAATCTACCCTAAAATTTTCAAACTCACGTGAGTGGTTCTCTCTCTCATATTCTTCCATCAAACCATACCATTATTCATTTATACCGTACACTAAATAGCACAGCTTGGTTCATTGTAGGAACTAGATATGCCCCTAAGTCTTTACCAGGTAATAAAATTCGACACAATACAATATGCCTGTGATTTCTATAAAATTTAATTATTAATTAATATCATCAGCAAAGTAGGCTCACTAAGTGATACTACTGACTTGTATGGTCGTATGGTATCTGTGCTGGTTGAAAATGGGATAAATGATACTCGAATTCATTGTCTCTTTCACCTGATAAACATAGTTTTCAAAACTAGACCGGACCGGACAGTTGGACTGAAAAAACCGGGAACTAGTCAGGTGATTGGTTTCGATTTTCCCCAAAATTGGAAATTTGTCCAAAATCATTGATTTTAACCAACAAACCACTGACTTGGGCAGGGTATGACCGTTTTTTGTTTTTTTTTGTCAGAATGAGCCGACCACTCGACCCGGTAACTAAACCCCTGACCAGTTCGGTCTCCGGATTGTTTTTAAAAACCATGTTGATAAATAAAACTAGTCAAACAAAACCCATAAAACCAAAAATTATCCTCCAACACCATCCTTTTTGATAGATCTTCACCCATCAGTAAATGCTGCAAATCTAAACCATTCAACAGTTGGTATTAAAGCCAAACCAAGAGTTAGTTGTCAGAAGAAAAGGATTAGAGTTACTTTACACAATACCATTATTCTAGACATAGCTACTTCTTACCAGGTAAAAAAGGTCGACACAATGCGTTGAAGATTCTTGTGATCCTCCTACATTGGTTTAAGTAAAGATTTTAGTAGGTTCCCGGTTTTTACTTGTTTAAACCACCCGAACAGATGTGGAAGTTCACATCGACTATAGTTTGGAAATTCCATCTGTCAATGGATTTGAATGTTTGGACTATCCAACCATAGAATCAATTTGGCAAGCCAATGGATTGGGAGTTCATCTTCTTCGTCCAATATTCATGGTTTAAGAACATCACATGAAATGGCAATCGTATCCAGGCAAGTTCAATCTATGCGTTTACAGGTTAGGTGCATTAAATTATAGACCAAGCAAGCCTCACTTCTCTTTTTCTCTTTTATGCTTAAAAGGGCAAAATAGGATTCTAAAAATTTTAAATGAGTTGTTTCATCGATGGAGGTATGTTTAAGTCCAAAAGGATTAGTCCACAAAATACATTTAAGTCTATTTGAAAAACTGAAGGTATGTTTAAGTCTTTTACCCTATTTTTTTAGAGATCGGTTTCAGTCGGTGCAAGACCCGTTCGAACAGCCTCAGCTTTACGTTGGGAACATATTCGTACTTTTGTGTTTTATTTCATGGGGATACTCTCAATGCAAGGCTATAAAGGTTGTTGGAATGGACCTTGTAATGACTGAATCCGGTTTCATTTTTTTTATTAATTATAATTGTTAATTATTAGTAAAATTAATAAAAATATTAGCTTTTGTAATTATTTTTATTTATTTAAAGTTGATCAAAATTTTATTTAAAAATAATAAAAATAATAATAATTATTAAAATTATTACAAATGATTAATAAAATTAATTTATTAAAAACATTTATTCAATTATCAAATAAAATAATTATTTTCTGTAAATTAACAATAAATAAAATTATTCAATTATTAATTTTTAAATATTAACAATAACTTTGAATATTTTCAATTAATTAACACAAATTTTGGTTATTAATTTACCAATAATTAATAATAAATAAAATGATTTAATCTTTCAGATTTTCCCGTAAATCGCACGGGCCCCGCTAATACTTAGATAATGGAAATAGAACACAGACCCGACAACTCAAGCAAAGTGCAACCCGAATTGAGGTCGAGCTTACGCTTTCAGGGTAGGGCCAAAGGTCGGGTTTCGGATTTCGGGTTGGGGCTACGCAAGTCGTACATCGTTCCAGTCATCAGTTATCACTTATCGCCACTTCAAATTGCTGCTGTGTGCTGAGTCCTCCCTCCACCATTCCCCCAAAACATGGCTTCATCACCCTCTCAGATATCTGCTTATGTATTAAGGGCATTGAGTTTTCCATTGTTTATCACTCTTCACTTTTAGGGATTCTTGACCTTGTTTTCTTCCTTTTTTTTTTCCATCAATTTCCTCCAAGTAATGCTTTCAATTTCTGACTTTTTTCCGTTACTGTGTACTGGACATGAGCTTTTTTGCTTGTCAGATGTTATCTTATTCCTACCCAGTGAAGCGGACCAACACTGTTATACTAAGAACTCATCATCACATTCCGTGGATGAAATCTTCCTTACAAAATCCGAGAATCCTCCGCTCTCTTAAATTTTCTCCCAGACCAATAATAACAGCCAGTATTGACGGGGAAGAGAGAGGAGGAGATGTCAGATTGAAAGAAGAAAGAACGAAGTTAAGGTGGGCCGAGATAGGTCCTGATATAACAGAGGTCCAGAAGCAGGCTATATCTCAGCTCCCATCAAAGATGACAAAACGATGTAAGGCTTTCATGAAACAGATTATCTGTTTCTCTCCCCAGAAAACCAGTCTATCTCAATTATTGGATGCGTGGGTGAAGATAATGAAGCCGAAAAGAGCTGATTGGCTTGCAGTTCTCAAAGAAATGAGGAGGATGGAACATCCCCTGCTCCTCGAGGTGATCTCCCCCACCCCCAAATTTCAAATTTCCTGCCATTTTTTTATATATTTGAAAATTCGTTTCTTCCGTGTTTCCGAGCTCCTTGAATTTATTATTCATTATAAATATTTGCAGGGAAGAATTAATAATGATATTCCTTTTGCTTGGTTCACTTCACGTTGGGGGGAGATAAGTTGGTGAACAACTAGCTTTCTTTTATTTTATTTTGTCTGTGTATTTTTGCATTCTAAGTGTGTCTAGTATTCCTTGAACTTGTCGGCTCTGTCTCCAAATCCAATGGATTTGGTTTTTGAGATTTTGGATCCGCATTATTGTAGGAACAATGGTATTGGCCAACCCTTGAAAAGAAGTTTTTTCTTCCTGAAACTCTTCTCTTCTTGTTAGAGTCTTGGCGATGGGCGACACTTGGACTCATTTTTGGTCAGACACTCAGACTTGCGAACGGTGATGTTAGGTTATGGTTTGATAGAAGCTCTCTAGGGAACTCCAAAGTGCTCGGGGTCTCTTTGCAGGTGATGTAGACTCAACTAAATTTGAGGTGGTTGCTCTTTTCACAGTTGCTCCTATAGCCAATGACCTAAGGCTGTCCTCCCTTGTAATGTAAAAGGACTTTGCAAATGCAGTTTATTGGTAGAGAGGTGCTAGCGGAGGTTGGTCAATACCTTGATGAAATCTAGGCAAGAAAAGGGGGGTTCTCTTTTGTGTGGAAAAAAACTCTATACCTTATTTGTGTATTACATGGTTTCTAGGTTGGGCATAGGCATTGCAGAAGAGTTGCTGCTTCTGCAGTGGATCCCTTCTAAGCAGGATTTCTAATTTTGTTTTCAATTAAAAGAGAGATGTTATACTTTTTTTTTCCGATTGGTAACCATAAATTTAATGTATAAATGGTGTACAATACAATTGTGTCAAGCATCCCTTAATGTGATAGGCTTGCCCCAGCTATCTAACCCAACTTTGCATGCCTTCTAATTACATTCAGTCTATATGGGCAATAACCCCCGCACCCCAATACAGAAATTTCCTGTTTATCCCTTACTTACCTAATGTATTAGCTAGACTATTGGCCAATTTTTGGATCCACCAAAATGTTACCCAGAACTACCTTGCTAGCAATTATGTTTCTCTCAACATATACCTATAAATCCAAGAACCATTACTGTTATTTTTGTGCGATTATTTTTACTTCACTGTTTTTGAAGACTCCACTTATACCAGATGTCTCCAGATTGCATAAATAACACCCATGGAGTGAGGTACTTGTGGAAGCAAACAAGGGTAAATAAGTTTTCTGGACTTCTAGTGAAAGATGAGAATGCCACTGCCTGTCTACATCAAATGATATCATCTGTTATAGTTACATACCTTCTTCCATTTCATATTTCTAAAGAGAAGCTTGACGAATGAGTAATAACATGCAAAAAGTTTTTCTTTATAATGAAATTCTATTTTTACTATAAAAAGGGAATATAGGCTTTGGAAGAATCTTTGTTGGGGAAAATCTTAATGCAAAACCACCCTAGAAGTTCACAGACCGGTATTTTCTGAATAGTCTCTTGTTGTACATGGGTGCTGTTTTGTTTAATGAAATTAGACTTTACCTTTTCTCAAAAAGAAAAAAAATCTGAACTTTTGACAATGATGAAGGAAAAAGCTTATTTCAAGCTGACTACTTACATTTGAGACTGCAAAACTTAAGGGTTGAAATAGACTTTGATTACCCTACGTGAGGAGGAGGACATACTATGGTGTTTAGTGGGTGACTTCAATGTCACCAGGTTCAGTTCGGAACATTCTAATGGTAGAATCCCAACCAGAAGTATGAGAAATTTCTCTAATTTTATTGACAGACACAATCTGTGTGATCTCCCCCTTACCAATGGACTATTCACCTGGTCAAACATTGCAAGAAAATGCCATAAGCTGCAGACTTGATAGATTTCTGCTATCTCAGGATTAGTTGGAGAGATTCCCAAACTTGTGTCAAGAACTTTGTCCAAGATGTACCTTAGACCACTGGCCCATATTGCTGAACACCGAAAGAATCATCAAAAGAAAGACCCCATTCAGATAGGAAAGATTCTGGCTACAACACAAAGACTTCAGTAAAAAGGTTGCAACATGGTGGGAAGACTGTAAAGTAGAGGGGTGGGCTGGTTTCAGGCTTCTTCAGAAATTAAAAGCTTTGAAGAAAAATCTTAAAGCTTAGGGGAGAGAAGAATTTAAAGCTGTTGAAGAAGAGAAGAAAAGAATTCTTTTGGAATTAGAGGATTTGGATAGTAGAGAGAAAAATGGTACCCTTAATGCCTTAAACAGAAATAAAAGAGCAGAATTAAGAACGGAATGGGAACAGCTAGTTAGAAGGGAAGAAATCTATTGGAGACAAAGATCAAGAGTGAGATGGTTGAAAGAAGGAGACAATAACTCCAGATTTTTTCACACCTATGCCTCAGGAAGAACTTTATTTCTAAGCTCAACCTGAATCAGAGGGAAGTGGAGAATCCTGAGGAAATTTTAGAAGCTTTCCTGTCCTTCTTTAAAAACCTCTACTCCAAGGATAGTGAAAACCAGTTTACACTATAATTGGGATGACACTACCCTATCAGCTGAAAAGAGGGATTGGTTGGAAAGAAGCTTTGAAGAGGAAGAAGTTAAGAAGACTATTTTCAGCATGGACGAAGACAGGGCTCCAGGGCCGGATGACTTCCCTATTCTTTTCTTCCAAAAGTGTTGGGAAATTGTAAAGTCAGATCTCATGGATTTTTTCAGGGATTTCCACTCCTTTGCCATTGTTAACAAAGGCCTAAACTCTACCTTTCTCTGCCTCATCCCTAAGAAAGGGGACTAAGAAAGGGGGAGTTTTGGAAGTTAAAGATTTTAGACTTATAAGTTTGGTTGGGAGCATATACAAAATTTTGGCGAAGGTACTGGCCAACAGACTTAAAGAAGTCCTTGAAGATCTAATTTCCCCAAATCAGTTTGCTTTTGTAAAAGGAAGACAAATTGTGGACAGCATTCTTATTGCAAATGAGTGTGTGGAAGATAGAAAATCTTCTAGGATCCTAGGGGTCCTTGTGAAACTTGATCTTGAGAAGGCGTACGACAAAGTGGGTTGGGACTGCATTCTTGATTGCTTAAGGCTAAGAGGCTTTGGAAGAAAATGGATTAGGTGGATTAAAGGTTGTATTGGTTCTCCTTGGTTTTCAGTATTGATAAATGGTGAAGCGAAAGGTTATTTCAAGGCTAGTAGGGGTCTAAGACAAGGTTGCCCTCTTTCCCCCTTACTATGCGCTTTGGTGATGGATGTATTTAACTATCTTTTTGACAAGTCAATTCTTCTCAACTTGGTGAAAGGATTTGAAGTGAGTAGGGATAAGATTCACTTCTCTCACTTATAGTTCGCCGACGACATAATCCTATTCTTGGATGCCTCCACAACCAACTCCACAAACACTAAAATGGTAATTGAATGTTTCGAGCTTCTCACTGGTTTGAGAGTTAATTTTTTCAAAAGTAGTATTGTTGCTATTAACTCAGTGGAAGTGGAACTTCTAAAAAAATTCAAATCTTTGTTGGGGTGCAAAGAGGAGAATCTCCCCATTACCTACCTTGGGATGCCTCTTGGAGGGAATCCAAAATCCCTCAACTTCTGGAGACCAGTGATGGAGAAATGTGAGAAGAAATTATCGACTTGGAAAAAGTGTTATCTCTCAAAAGGGGGGTAGGCTTACTCTCTTAAAGGCCTCCTTATCAAATCTGCCAGTCTACTTTCTTTCAGTCTTCCAGATTCCGACCAAAGTCAGAAATCAGATTGAGAAGCTTCAAAGGAACTTTCTTTGGGAAGGTGGAGTAAGAGAAACCATTTAGTCAGCTGGAAACAAGTATGCAGACCTAAAGAGGAAGGCGGTTTGGGTATTGGACAGCTTAAAGAGAAAAATTCTTCTCTCCTAGGCAAATGGCTTTGGAGATTTCCGAAAGAACCCAATGCTCTTTGGACAGCTGTCATCTCAAGTAAATATGGACGAAATACAAACGGGTGGGAATGTAATCTCCATTTGAACAGGATAAAGGTCACAAATCCTTGGAAAGGTATCTGTTCCATTCATACTTCTTTCTTTCCTTTTATAAGGTATAAAGTGGGAAATGGTTCTAAAATTAAATTCTGGAAAGATCTTTGGTGGGGGGAATCTACCCTGGAAGCCTCTTTCCCTAGGCTGTTGAACTTTACTCTTGATCAAGAAGCCACTATTTCTTCCTGTCTCCCAAACCAAACTGCCGAGAATTCTTTAAACCTCCACCTCAGAAGACCCCTAAGGGACTCAGAGATTTCTGATTTAATAGCCCTAATTCAAACCCTCAAAGATGCCTACATATCCCCCTCTCATTCTAACACCCGAATATGGACCCTTCACCCAAATGGAGAATTCTCTTCTAAGTCTATGTTCAGGGCTTTGATTGCTGATGAGCAACATTCCTCTTTTCCTTACAAGAAAATCTGGTGTAGCCACATCCCTTCAAGATTTTGCTTCTTTATTTGGGAAACTGTCTCCAAAAAGTTAATACTTGTGATCTCCTACAGAAAAAACTTTTAGGAAGGCACTCCATATCTCCTCATGTTTGTATTTTATGCCTCAGCGAGGGTGAATCTGCAGATCACATCCTTCTTCACTGCAGTTTCACTCAAAGAGAATATGGTCCCACTTCTTGAATATGACAGGTTATAGTTGGGCTTTTCCAAAACACATTATGGTCATATTGAATCAATGGCAAGGAACATGGCTAAGCAAAAGGGGTAAAGTCTTTTGGCAATCAGTGCTACATGCAGTGTTGTGGGGTGTTTGGGATGAAAGAAACAACCGCCTCTTTGACAATAAAAGCAGAACCTTGGAGGAATAAATCTCAGATATTACCTACCTTTGCATCCTTTGGACGGTGAATACAGCTCTGTCCAAAGGACTTTCAGTCAATGATCTTATCAGAGACGTTCACCCATTCTGTTTCTCCCTCATCCCCAGCAAACATCCTTGAGGCATCTCGTACCCATAAGTGAAGGAGTGATAACCCTTAATTTTGACGGGTGTGCCTTAGGTAATCCTGGCCTTACTGGTATTGGAGGTACAGTAAGGGACTAAAGGGGCAATATATGCTGGACTTTTAGTGGTCCAATTGGCTGGGCTGACTCCACAAAGGTTGAAGTGATGGCTGCTCTCACCAGAATCAGGATAATAAAAAATTGGGAATTCAGAATTTGATCATTGCAGGTGATTCAGAAAATACGATAAAATGGTTAAGAGACAAAGAGGGGGGCCCTTGGAGACCGAACCGTTATTTGACTGAAGCTTGGGATTCTTTGGATTGTTTGAATGTTAAATTAGTCTGGATTTCTAGGGAACACAATCATACTGTAGATGGCCTAGCTAAATTTGGTGTGCACTTGGAGCATTTGTATAGCGACAAGCTTCCTCCTTTGTAACTTTTAGGGGTTCTCCCCCTGCTTTGTATATCTCTCCTT